CCAATGAGAAACGAGAAAAGACATAATTAATCCAAAAAAAATAATAATTTTTTATTAATTTCTTCTTTGTCTCAATTCTGATTGGTTGAAACATTATTTGTCTAAATACTGACCAGTCTGAATACGCGGTTGTCTAGATACTGATATTTAACCCATAGAGACATAGTTGCAAAGTAGATATGACCAAGATACATAGATACGTAGATACTGAAGCATAGATACATAAACTGCAAAAACGCACATATATACTTAGAATGCTTAGAAACCTACTTATATGAACAAACAGATATATAGATATGTTTTCACTCAGGTACATAACTACAATTATACTTAGTTATACAAAAAATTAAATGCATGGATACAACGACCATGGATACAACTTTAAATCAATACATAGATACTCAACTACATAGAGAAACATAGATACAAAAATACAAGGATGCAATACTACCTATATGCGTAGTAACATAGATACATGTATACATAGGTTCCTAGATATATAGACAAATAGTTACTTACAGGCAAAGATGTCTAGATACATAGATACTTCTCTACGAAGATACATAGTGCAAGTAGATACACAGAGGCATAGTTAAAAAGAATCATGGTTAGATGGATACATACATACAGCTCACATAAATACAGAATTTCAAAGATACATAGATACATATATGCATGGCCAAATATAATTAATTTGGGTTCTAAATCGAAATGCAGCACGGTTTGTAGAAACTGAGCATAAAGCTTGTACCTCGATCCTCGGTTTTTGGCCTCAAATTTGTAACTTTTTTGTATTTTTGTCAAATTTTCTCATGTTGAGGGAAAAAATTTGACCGAACAAGCATTGCCTTGAAAACTCTCACGTCAAGCTTCCAGGCGGAACTCCCACGTCAACCCTGAATTTTATTTGTGCCGGATCGTGCAATTTTGCAAAAAGAAAAGTCCTCATCAAAACTGTGCGCACTCGCAATATTGTTCTTAGAGACATAAGTTTGGCTGTGAAGCGAATTTTACAAAAAAAAATAGTTGAGTTCAAGAGCTCAAGATATCCATTATTAGATTGTTGGATTCTATAACGGTCGTAGAATAATTATGCTGAAATCGGTGATGAGAGAAATAAATTAAACAACATAATTGTCATACTCATCGATAAAATTCAGCAATATTATGTTGAACTCACTATATCAGGGGCAAAAAGTTTCGTAAACACGTGAACACTTTTTCAAGAAACGTGTTATTAATTTGCCAGTCAATTTTTGTTGCAATTTTTAAGGGTCAATGATACAGTGAATATACCTATACAGGGGCGGATTTAGGGGATTTAGGGGGGGGGGGGGCGGACGCCCCTTCCCCTCAGGGATTCGACCCCCTGCCGACCCAAAGGGTCCCCCCTTTGATACTTTTTCAGAAATCCATTTTTGGCCGACCGACCCTAAAATTTTTCTAAAGGCGCCTTTGGCGCCAATATATACTAACTTTGAGGGGGAGCGCGCGCCAAAAAAAATGCGATTTTTTTGTCAAAATTTTTCTAAAAGTGCCCAAAAACGGCTTTTTTGACTGTTTTTTAAAAATTTATCGGGTCAAAACAGTGTCAATAGGGTCAAAACAGTGCTTTGGGAGAGCTCGAAAAATCAATTTGGTCGACCTAAAAAAAAATAAAGGTCGTCAAAACTTTCGATTTTTTTTTGAAAATCCGCCCCCCCCTCAAGAAAATCCTAGATCAGCCCCTGTACCTATATGAGTCGTGTTGCTTTTTTCTTTTTTTCGGAAAATATTTTGTTTTTTGTACACTAAAAATTCAGTTATGTTTGTGTTTTTAATGCTTACGAAAACTTTATGGCAAGTTTTAAATCAAGTGGCTCAACTAACTTTTTAAAACAAAATTTATTTGTTTATAACCAGTTCAGACCTTTCTCAAAAAAAATTTCAAAAAAATATCATAATTTGAGCAATGTAACTTTATTATACATAAAAGGAAAACCGAAAAAAGTAAACATAGAAAGTTTTTTTTTTTCAATAATGGACAAATTGTTTTTTTTTGCATCCGAAAGCTCTTGAGTTTTTAATTAGTTCACACAGCTTATGCAGCTTACTTAAAATAAAAAAATAGTTTCCAATATTTAGATCATATTCATTGTAAAACAAAATAAATTAACGAATGTCACATTTAACCCGGTTGATGCAGAACGCGTAAAGATTCACTTAATAACAACTGAAGGCACGCCGGTATTAATAAACTCAATTGAGCAAAGTTATTTCAAACTTCGATTTTTTGCTCAAATGAAGTCTCAAGGATATTTGTCAGAAAAATTAGGCTGCAGTAAACGTATATTTGGCTGAAAATTGCATGGCAGAAGTTAACAAAAGTCTTTGGCAATTTTCATCTGGTTCTTGCGCTCAAGCACTAATATGTTCGAAGTCCAACTTAAATAGATCATTTTGAGGAAACGGTTGCAAATACTGTGGAAGTAGCAGTTTTCGATCTTTAAAAAACTTTGATCCAAGAAGATCAATTTTAAAAGTTTTTTTAATTTTCCCATTTTTTTCATTTATAACATATTTTCTTTCAAAAATTTAATTACCAAAAATCTCTATTTAATTATTTTTAAGTGCAGATTGTTTTGTTAAATAACAATGCCCTTTCTGGAACAAGATTTTTGAACAAAGCGTTATTGTTTTTCAGACACTCAGAGAAAAGAGAAAAAAAGGTTGTAACTGATTGAAATTCATTTTTGTTTCAGCTCTGACATTCTGCAGAGCTTCCACTTTTCTCAGCTACCTTCCGCAATTTCTTCAAATTGTGATTTGCTACGGGGCCATAATCGGAAGTGACATTTTCATCACTTACCTCGAAAACAATCTGGAGGGAACTCCGAGAGGAAAAAGACTTTGCCGGGACTCCTCGAGGAATCGATCGGGAAGTCGAGGGCGCAGAAGTGGCACGACTCTCGGAGATGAAATGAGAGGAGACAAGTCGCCAAAACGAAGAAAAAGTCGGCTCCCGAGTTTCGTCGAGTTTCTAAACCCGAGTGCCGAAACACGGCGACGGTTATCAAGCATAGGGTCGATCTGGTCCATTCCTCTGAGCAGGAGATCGAGATCGAATCCTACCGGGAGTGTACCTGCCTTGACGGCGAACAAAAACTCGCTTCAATCGTCGCGTATGTCGATTTCGACCCGGCGACAGAGCCGCAGACCATCTCGGAGAGTTTCGCTTCCATCTTTCTACACACCAAGAACTTCGGTTAGTCGTCCAAATTCGGAAATTTTATTGTAACAAGTTATGTCCACAGTAGTATATAAAGCGATGTTGAAGCTGTAAGTATTAACATATACTAACATATTTTTGGTGCTTTTTCTTGATATTTTTCTCATGGTCAATCAAGTTTACTATTATTCTGACTGCTAAATTGGCAGCATTTGATTCGGAAAAAAACTTAAAACCTAGTCAACACGCTGAACTTCAGAACTATTTTACGAGGGTAGTTATCAATTAAAGCGTTGTTTTCTTTAGTCTAAAAATAGAAGTAAAGGATCGAATTTTAGAAAAAAATATCATGCCTTTAGTATGCCAACCTGTATGTGAAATCTTTTATGACATTTTGTCATGAACAACATTTCTAAACACTCTAAAATATGCGAAAGATATCCCAATCACAAAAGCGGCAGTAAAGCAATTTGTTCCAAGTAACGCCATATTTCTCTTTTAACTATTCTGGTCTAAATTTTTGAGAAAATACTCCAAATTTGTCAATTGTAAAAAAAATCAGTCATTACAGTTGGAGCAAAAATTGCAAGCCTTTTATATTGCAAAGATAGGCATATTGCATCTTTTTAGATCCATCAAAAGCGTTCGATACTGTCAATTAGTCCATTATACTACAAATTTGTTACAAATTCTGCGTGCGAGGTAAAGTGCTTGGTCCGACTATTGTGAATGGGGGGGGGGGGGGATGTCTTGAGGGGGATGTTTGTATTCGGATATCTTGTAGTTTTTTTGTTTTCCAGGCAAAGACAGCTACCACAAAAAATAGTCAGAGAAAGTTGATTGATATATCATTTTAGAGCCCTTTCAACCTTGAAATTTGAAAAAAAATTGAAGAAAAAAAATAATTTTTGTAAAATTTTTTGTTTGATATTCAATTTTCGAAAAACACTTTGATGATCATATACAAACCGTTAGTTCTCTACTTGATCTTGTATTTCTCCAGTCACAACATCCTTTGAAAACGAGGCTAATTTGAAGAACATGAAAAAAGTTTTTTCTTAAAAGAATATGGTCGAAACATTCTCAGCTAGTTGCATAGATATCAGATATCAGTATCAAAATTACCATGCTGCTAAGCATCGAAACTGTCTGATCGAAAACAATTCGTAGTTTTTGACTATCAAGATTACAGTATTAGAACTTAAACGTGCGGAGTGCACCAAGGTTCAGTATTAGGACCTGTCCATTTTTTATATACAATTTAACAGAGAGTTAACAACACAAATAGGATTTCATTAGCAATTTAGATTATTCATATGAATAAACTGCAAAAAAGAGATTCTATATGCAGATGGTTAAAATGAAATTGTTTCCTCTTTGAAAACATAAACAGTTTAGTTCAATTCACTGACAAATGATTACTAGGATAAAAACCAGCAAAGTTCTCATACGGCGCTTTGTAACTGGCCGTAACGCCTTCAGCGTGCGTTCAAGATCAGTGATCGTTAAATAATGAAATATACTGAATTATCAGTATAACAAAACGCCCTGAACAATTGATTGAATTTGTCATGAATGAAATTTTCTGATTTTTCATCGAAAAAACTGGACTAGTGACCAAGTTTGCTTAAGCTTGCAAACTTATCATAATTCAGTTTTGAACATGAAAGAGCTTTAGTTGGACTTTTTAAACGTTTTCAAAATTTTCAATCTAATTTTGTTCGGTTTCATAGGATTTGCTCCCCGTTTTATTTATATAGTGGCTTTGTTTGAAAATTCAGTATTTGATGAAAAATTAAAAGAAAACAATCTTCAATAATTTGCATAAACAAATTGTTTGCAACTACTATTTTGATTCCTCTAACTGTTATCAATGACAAACCCACGGGGAGAAAACAGTTTTATCGTATTTGTGTCTTTTGATTTGATGTAATTGAAGCTATTGTAGATGGTTCGTTGTCCTTAAAACTTCAGCTTTTTTTACCATTTGTTAAACGCGCTGTGTAAACAATTAAATTACGTTGTGCTGTTTTTTTCTTGGTAAATTTTTTGGATGTTTCAATGAATACAGAAATGAAAACAAACTCAGCTCTCCATTTACGAAAAACAATACAGGAAAAAGAAATGGGAAAAGAAACTAGAACATTTTTTAATTTTGTAAAACACGTAAATTTTCAAATTTTCCAGCGGAAAAAAAATGTTACCTAACAATTTTTTTGATTCAATTTAGTTTAACTTCAGCAGAAATTAACTATCATACTTTATTTTTAAAGCTCGAATAGTTTTGATGCCCTGATTGTTTTCTTTGAAAAGTGGAAAAATAACAAAAACAGTCCATCGTTTCATAACGAGGCCAAACTGTGCTCTATGTGAATTCTTCAAAAGGCCAAAAACAGATTTGTTGCAATCTCATTACTAGCTTTCTTAGCTATCGAAACACATTGCTAGCATTTTTTGCTATCATTGCTAGTCAAAAACTTTGCTTGCTGCTTGCTTTCTTTGATTTTCTTTGCAGTTGTGGATGCCACGAACGAACAAAAGGCTAAAACACTGTATTGCTCAAAGTTGGTCCATATACAGGTGAATTTAAGGAATCCGCAACATAATTTGGCAAATCCGCATTAAAACTTGCGGACTCCGAAACACTTTGTGTAATTCAAATTTAAATCATAATATGTCTCTGTAGTAAAGTTACGCTGTCGCGGAATCCGCAACTGTTAGGGGAATCTGCAAAATGTAAGCGGAATCTGCAAATTGTGAGCGGATTTTGTGAACAATTGCCAAACCCTCTTACAGTTGTGGAATTCGGAACAAATAGCTATTTTCGCTATTGCATTATCCGCGATAAAACTAATGTGCTGACAAACTTTGCGTTACACATAATTGAGCGCCAAGACCACAAAAACTTCAAGAGCGAAAACCGCCCAATTGCGCGCCTATCCAATGCACAGTTTGGCCTGGTACGTTTTTTTCAGTCTCTTACACATTGCCAACTGACATATTTCTAACTGTCTATCGGCTTTGTTTCGTATTTTGCGCTCTACTTTGTTTTCCCATCTAATATTGTCTTGTTTCATGATTCCGGTCAATTTGTATCAGCTCAATTTAGTTACAGTTTCTCAAAAATGGCTCCACAATATAGGCTTAATCATAATGTTGCATTTCAACTCTTATTAAGAATTTCAATGCTAACGGATTGAAAGTTTGCTTGCGGTTATTGATATCTCCATTCCCTCAAAACCGACCAAAAAATTTTTTCTCTAAGATTTACTCGGCCTCAATTTAATTTTAATTCGGTTAAATCGAAATCATTCGCCGCAACAATTCAAAAAAAGTAATTTATGGCAAGCAATGTTCACCCAAATTGGCGATTTTGTATCCACTGTAGTTTTAGGAATAATAAATGCAGGCAAAATAATTTTAATTTCGAACCTCGAGTCTTTCAATTTCAAGCTCCGCGAAAAAAACGCCAATTTTAATTAAGTTTTCTTAGTGTGAAGAACACAGCCCACAAAATGTAAATAACCGAGCACCGTCTTCAAAGCTCAAAAAATTAAACTTCCGTAAAAAAATTAGTGGATCAAAACTTATTTCCTTCCCTTAAAGAAGTCACTTATCGTAATTTGACTGCTTTTTCTCAACCGTGTTTATAAACATTTTTCAATTGTTTATTGGCTTTTTTTCCAAATATAACTTGTGAACTTCATAAGCAGCCCTTTTTTTAGTCTTTGGCGCTGTAAATTTGTTCCAAAAATTTTTTACTTTGACCTTTCGACTGATAATTAGCCCAAAAGTATTTATAACTTCTGAAATTTTTTGCAATTTTTTGGGAGTTTGAAAGATGTTAAATTAGCTAGAAGGACAAAGAGGGAATGAAATAGGAAATTTAGCTAAAAAAAGTTTTTAAGCAAAAAAACTTGGAAAAAATTGTTCTGTCTGTTTAATGAGCTTGTTCCTACGGTAAAAAATTTTTTGTTTTCTCCTGTTTTTTGTTTCATCAGGCTTTACTAAAGGGGACTAAGGTTGAGAGTTTTATCTTAAATGAGCTTTATTTTAGAAAAATAAGACAAAGATGAAAAGGAAGAAAAATATTGCGGTTTTAATCTTTTTCCGGTTTCATATAAAACTGATTTTTGGAAACTTCACAATAACAATTAGTGAACATTTATGAAAATAAGGGCAAATATCAGCCAATATGCCAAGCCACCCTAAAGCATGGGGTTACAGCAATTTGTGGGATTTTCTTTTTTAAATCTACAGCCGATCGTTTTTCCTTACTTAACAACGTAGAAACTAATATAAAAAGATATGATATGGCTCGTTTATTACTCTGCCTCGCTATAAAACAGTATCGATTGGTTTCGGAGAAAAATTTGGTCAATTTTTTGCTCGATTTTTATTAAACCCAGACAAAAGCACTGCCAAAAGCCATAGGAAATTAATGATGCGTTATATATAGGTTTCCTCGAACCCTGTAGCCAATCTTTTGTTTTCATTAATTGAAGTTATAGTGTTTATACTAAATTGGAAATCCGATTACCTATTTTGTAAACAAGACTGCATGTTTGGAATTAGGCTTACAAAACATGATAGGATTTTTTTCCAAGACAAATAATAACATACCATCGGCTTTTGCTTATAATCGCTTAAAATTCAAGATTGATTTGGTTGTTTACATTATCTGGTAAACGCGTTTCAACCACGATCACTCAGCTTACAAGTTTATCTTTTCATTATCAATTTATCTATTTGCGTTCTCTTGTTTCATCAAAAAACAAGTTCATTTTTGCTGTTAATTTTTGTTCGGGATATGGTTCATTTTTTTCAGCTTCAATGAGCAGGACCATTTTTGCCATTTGACAAAAAAAATTCCAGGTGCTATTATCCTGAAAATCTCTTCTTTTTGACCATTCATTCGATTTAATGCCATTTCAAAAATATGATTTCAGATAAAAGAGACAGTCCTTTAAAAAGGCCAGAAAACTATGGAGTTGATACAAAAGTTTCCAAAAAAGAATATTTTGTTCTATGAAGTA